TCAGGATGATACATTTTTAAGCATCGAGATGTGAAAAATATCATGAATTTGTGAAATTATGGGGGTAGGACAAGACTATCTGCTACGAGGTCTACACGTTCTATGATCTTGAAAGGTCTAACATAAGGAGGACTAAACTTTTCTCTCTTCCTAAACCGCATCTTTCCCTTGTATGGAAAGACTTTCAGAAAGATGTGGTCACCAACAACAAATTCCAGAGGCTTTCTGCGAATGTCATCATAGCTCTTTTAGCAACTTTGTGTAGTGACAAGGTTCTTTCTGATGACAACAACCTTGTCAACAGTTTCCTAGACATATTCTGTCGCAAGGAGATGCCTGTTCCCAAGCTCATTCCAATAAGTCAAGGATCGAAAAGATTTGTCATAAAGAGCTTCAAATGGAGTCATGTCGATACTAGAGTGATAACTATTGTTATAAGCAAACTCGCGAAGGGGGAGGTGCATATCCTAACTGCCACCAAAGTCCAATACACTAGCGTGCAATATGTCTTTCATCGTCTGGATAGTGTGTTTAGACTACCCATCAGTTTGGGAATGGTAAACAGTATTGAAATAAATGCTGGAGCTAAGGGCTTCTTAGAAGTTATCCCAGAAGTGAGGGGTGAAATAAGGGTCCCTATTTGACATCATAGAAATAGAAATACCATAGATTCGAACAATCTCCTCGACATATAATAGAACCAGTTTATTGGTCGAGTCAGTAATCTTAATTGCAAGAAGTGGGCAGACTTGGTCAGTCTGTCCATAATTACCCATATGGCATCACGATTAGAGCTGGTTTTGGGTAAACTAGTGATGAAATCCATGGTCATGTGCTCTCATTTCCACTCGGGATAGGGAGACCTTACAAAAAGCCACTAGGTCTTTGATGCTCTACCTTGATCCTTTAGCATGTGAGACACCTAGGGACATAATCCACGATTTCCTTCTTCATTTAGGTCACTAGAAATGACATCTCAAATTACAATACATTTTTGTACTACTAGGGTGGATGAACAATTTGGATGAGTTGGATTCTTTCAAGAGGTCCAATCTAAGTTCAGGATCACTAGACATCCATACACGATCATAGAACCTGTACAATCCATCATTAAAAATCCTGAAGTCAGAGTTATCCTTGGAAGCAAATTCATCTATATGCTTTAAAATCTCCTTGTTCATTGCTTGGGCCTTTGTGACATCTCAAATGCAAATTAAAGCATAACGGTGCCGGATATAAAATATATTATAAGTGTATAATAGATAAATATATGTAGTGAAACAAATGATTACAATCCTTTATAAAATAATGATAGAGTTCCATACAATACTGAGGTAGAAACAAAATTAATTACAAGCCTCTATAAAAGATGGACTCATCAGAGTGCGAGATAACTATGCACTCATAAAAGTTCATGGATCCACGGGATCTTCAAAGGCTTTAAAAAGTAGGCCAGCGATTGGTTCCTCACTATCTTCTTCATTAGTAAAGAAAATAATATTTAAATAACATCATAAGATTTTAAAGGTAATTAAAAGTACCAACATTACTTACTATGAAAAGTCATAT